AGCAAACCTTAGTACTGATAAAGCTTCATAATTCATTTTCCAGCACCAATGGGAATACATACGTCTCATTTTACACCTCAAAGATTATTCATTCATCTTTATGTCTGCATGTTCATGTCATCAGTGTTGACAATTATGGAATAGAACATGGGGTTACGCTGAGGTTAATTAGATATCGGGTTTAATGTGTTCAGTCATGTCAACTTTAATTGTATTTGAACATGTGTTTCCTGAGTAATAGGCTTCCTCTGCCCTGTTTGTCACCGTGAGAGTTATTACATGAACAAAGTACAAGTATGCACAACTTGACAACTTTATTGAATAAGAGTGAGGAAACAAGTGTGATTTGAAGCAAGATTAAAGAGAATATTTCATTTATCTAGAATCAGACTGAATTTTATTTCTTAACACATAAAAAGAATTTGCTTTGGTGATGTGGTCTCTTCATTAATGCAAAATAAAAGGTAAATGTGAGCCAGTTTTCTAAAATAAAAACATCTCTGCTTGTGTCTCGATACTGGCTGGATTAGGACTTTGTGTATTCATGACCAGATCAAACTGCTCCAGAGGGCCTAGGATTGTGGGCCCCTAGTGACCCCTAATGGCTCCCATTCTCTGTCTATTGAGTAATTGAAGGCAACAGAATTATTAAACACATTTCAACCAATCAATGTGGCAGCTTAATTCTGAAACACGGAAACGGTGCTCCTGCCAATCTGGGCCACACTGGTACACGTTTGCTGAATGTCAGTTAATGTGTGTTGGGCTTTGATAAGAAAATGCACTATTAGAAAACCACCTTTTATTATGCATATATTTAAGCAGCTTTGTTGCTTTACTGTAGAAAAACTATTGATGCAGTTGAAATCTCAAGAGAACTCTAAAACCATGAGTTAAATCGTGTTTGGTCTCTACTTTGACAACAGTTACAGATTACAGATGTGTTTATATAGGTTTTTGTGCATGAAAATGGTCTGCAAAGTCCCCTCCAGAAGGACTTCCTCTCCAAAACACTGTGTTCTCAAAGTGCCCCTTCAAGTGTTATATGCACTCACCCTTACATCTAAATGGGAATAATTGCCGGTAAACAGTCCGTGAACAGTATAAAGCTCATTTTAGAAATACTTAGCCTGACTTTGAAACTAAATGAGCAGCTCATTTAAATGTTTTTGACTTTTCTACCCAGGGAAGCATAACACAGGAGTCTGTTTAAGATGAAAAGAGTCCTCTTGCAGCAAGAAACACTACAACTGCTGCATGCATAGAGACTTAAATCAAATAAATGCAGAAGAAAAACAAGCATTTTAAACTAAAAAGGGCTAAATGAAATGAGTGTGTTGGATCATGTTGTTAAGTGTTGCTGTGTACTTCTCTTTCACATGATTACACCTGATTGTGTAATGCATTTGCTGATGAGGACCAGTCACTGCTACTCTTTGGTTGTACATCATGCAAATCAGATAATCATTTTATTTTGAAGAGTAAGCCCCTTCCTGATTGTTTGAAGGGAAACTCTTTGGAGTGCGACGATGACTCTCCATTACATAACATCCTCGAGCCAACACTACAATGTTTCTACTGCCAAATATTCTGAAAACCTCTTCAAGTCTCAGCCCCCCTTCAGCATATCTTGTTTTAGATGTAACACGGATCCTGACAATGTGTCAGTCGTCTCAATGCTGGATTGAAATGCCGTGTTTGAAACAGCAGGTCATCACATTTGAATGCAGAGCTTTTAAAAGAGTGCCGCTTTCTCAGGACAGGGGTTGGATTGGTTTAAATCTTTAAGTCATTTTTAGTCTGGAGACTGAGTGTCTTACTCACGCTGTTAATAACAAATGAGTGATGCCAACAGGTCCTCTCTGGCTCCTTTCCTTATATTTACTTCCAACAATGAAACAATGTTCCTTTTAGAGCAGTGTGTGTAGATCTGTAAGGAACTGATTGGTTGTGGGACTGTCTTCAGGTTGGGTTAAGACATATAAATAACCACTTGTTTAAAAACTATCATGGTTATCTCACTTTTTTCCACCAACTCCGGCCCTTAGGACCTCAGTGGATTGACGTCTACCTGAGAAGAAAGTAAAGTCACCCTGCCTCTGAGTGTGTGTATGTGAGTCTCCATGTGTGTGCCCCGCTGGCTGGCTAATGGAAAAGAGCCACTCTCTGGTTCCCCCTCAGATAAACACTGAGTAAATAACCTCTGGATTCATCAAGATAAAGATGGATGGTCACGAGCCGCCAGACAAAGCAGAGCCGCTTGAATTTTTGCTCCACGAGGCATAAAGTCAGCCGGCAGCAGTGAGACTGGTGGAGAGGAATCCAATATGTATGAAAGTAAAATGCTGCAATAATATGTAAAGAAAGTACATGTAGGCACAACATATAGACATATATTTATACACAGACACATGTTTAACTGTGTGGAAAATATGAATTTGAAGCATTACGTCAAAGAGTACAATTTTAACATTTTCTAGTTGGTTTGCAAATTAGTTGTTGCCTCTCCATTATTTTCCACTGCCAAGAAGCCTGTATAGTGGCTGCAGGCTCTTTATGGAAATCGAGTCATTAAAAGGTCTGAAAAGCTGCCAAGTGTGGTGACAAAATAGTTGGCAGCAGATTTTTCCCGTCATCACACACAGATATATCAGGATAATGAATGCTAAATCTGCTATCTGTTCAGTTTTAAAACATCAAATAAACATTTTCAAAGGAATTGTGCTACCTTTGTATAATTGGAATACACAGTTTATTATTTCACAAAATGGCTCTAAACGAGGTTTAATTTTCTTATATTTTTTTATGAATATCTTTGTCTGCTTTGTGATTGTCTGCCTAGCCGGAGAACCTGCCTTTTAGACCAACCTCACGGCTCCTTGGACTCTGGAGAGATTGAGGTTGCAACATTAAAACGCAGGATTAAAAACAGTTTCAATATTTCTCATGGAATATCTCCTGAAGGATCCGATCAGATTTTGTGTTTGAGGTGTGGGACCTTTCTTTTATTTGTATTTTGTCTATTAAGAGTGACTGCTGAACTATTTACCCTTAAGCCTGTCCACCCAGAATAATGGCGTCCCTGCTGGCTGATGATCAACTAATGGATGTTAGGATTCCTAATATTTGCATCAAACAGTGGTGGGCTGCAAATAATGATGTAGAGATCTGAGCGCCCTTTACAGACCTGTCACTAAGTGACATTCCCCCCCCCCCCCCCCCCCCCCCCCCCCCCCCCATATGAAGTCAAATGATTTTCCAGCTTTATCTGTAGTCATGCAGTGAGGGAAAAGCCATAATCACAAGCCTGTGCTCATCTGAATACTAATATGAAGCAAATGCATCCCACTGTCTCAGAGTTACATTAAAAAGTCAAGTATAAAATCTCACAGCCATTTGCATTTTATTTAATCAACTCTCTGTTCTCCTACCTCTGAGGCTCCTGTTAAAGCAATGCCAAGCAGGTGTGTGTGCGTGTGTGTGTGTGTGTGTGTGTGTGTGTGTGTGTGTGTGTGTGTGTGTGTGTGTGTGTATGATATAACATTCTCTGCAGCTCTTCCTCAGAATGATCAGCCTTGGCTTTTTAATCTGTCATTCAGTAGAGGAATCTAAAGTGTTCACTAAGGCTAAAATACAGTATATTTAATGTTTCAGCTGAATTTGAAATGAAATGTATCTCAAAGAAGATGAAGAATAGATGCTGTAATGGTTGCTACAATGGATCATTTTACTTTTTAAAAGTACAGGCGCCAATACAAACAGCATTGGTATTTTCCTGACCTTGGAATGAATTGTGTGCATCCGTCTGGTTTCATGCTCAGGGCAATGTGCATGGTGCAAAAGTAGGAGAGGTGTAATCATAGAATGGGTTAAAAATGACGTTCCAGGATTATATCATGTGACATTATCTACTAACATTGGCCTCACTGACAACTAAAAATGCGGACCCAGCGGCGTCGCACGAGACAGATCGCAAAACTTTGGTCTTGGAGTTTGGTACTCGGTCATCTGTCAGAGTAACATGATGCCTCACGGTGCTCAGAATTTATTTTAGAGTTGTGTTGCTTGTTTTAACATCCCTAAGCATTACCCCTTCTTCCATTTTCTTCCCCCTAACACCCCTGTTGTACTCTCAGATCCGCACACCAGCTGTTCCTATTGGTCCCCGGGGCCAGGTTTGAGGCTGAGGGTAGTAGGGAGTAGTCATAAGGGCTCAACAATTGTTAAACAACCTTCCATTGGGGGATCAGACAAGCTACCTCCGTGTCCTCTCTTAGAAAGTATTAATAGAAGGGCTTGTAATTAGTTATTTTGTCACACCTTGAGTGAACAGCATCACAAGCGGTTATTTAAAGCAGACTGTTGTTTAAAGGTGCTAATCCATCAGCGGACAGGTGTTGGCTGCACCCTGGGGCTCCATCTGCAAAGCCTTGGAAAACAAAGGCATCCCGCTTTTCCAAGGCCCGTCTGGAGCCTGTTTATCCCATGTTGATTTCATAAACAACCCACTTGAGCTTTAGTAATGGCTGCCATCAATAACTAGTGTTTCTCTGTCAGTGTGAAAGTCCCCACGCACACAACATGACTCCACTGCTGCATTCGTTACAGCCTGCTATATGAAGGAGGAGAAAATGCCTGAATCACATCCAGGAGATCTAATATATTCCATCTTTATTGCTGTAGCTATGTGTCTTCAGACAAGAGAAATGCACACTAAGTACTCAATAGCTGAATTATTAGATATTAATATGAGACCAGTTTTCCCCATCTCAGTGTAGAATCACACTGATTTGTGAAGTAAACTGTCTTTTACATTACCCTTTACATTAAAAAGAGCTGACATGAGAAGCATTTTTAAAGAATATTTACGGATTTTTATTTGCAATGGATAGCCCAACTTAGGTATGCACAATTCCGTCTGAAAAGCAACCAAATATGATGGTAAGACTCTGGGCCACGACCCCCCAGGTGGACGTTGGTCAGAGACGCTTCTTAGGTAAGGTCAGACTGATCGAATGACGCATGCGCATTGCGCAACAGCTATCAGGAACTTCACCAGCCGACGAGATGTGGACTGGAGTGAATAAACAGCGATAACTGGAGTTTCCTGTGACTCCATTAAGACAGTAAGAGGCTGACCGCATGCACAAACTAACAAACTAAGTAGCAAAGAAACAAATAGGCTAACAAACAAACACAAGGGACTGCTGTGTCCTTTCAGCTAGCAGCTATGCTAATGCCTGTATAGTTGGTACAGTCCGAGCTAATAAACAAACGAACCAGCGGTATATTCAGGCAAAATAAATGAAAACATTTTTTTTTAAGTAGAGATTAATGGAAAAAAGAAACGCTGTTAATTTGTCCTACTTTTATTGCAGGGTTGCCAACTCTCACGCATCTGGCGTGTGACACACGCTTTCACTCTCAATCTCACGCTCTCACGCTGCCCAAACTATTCTCACGCCAAAAACAAGAATACCGAAGACTAGAAACGGTTTTGAAAACTTTTGTCACGTAGTGATCGTCTTCTCAATAGAACATCTTTGATAATGTCTTCTGGCCAATCAGAATCACGATAACGGCGTGGTGTTGTTGCAGGAAGTCCCGACGGAGAATACTTTTGCGGTAGTACATCTCTATACATCGATACAACATTACGTGTTGATAGAAATCAACACGTAATGAAATAAGACCCCAGGGTTTGATGATTGATAGGTGTGTGGGCTGTCTTTCATTTTGACACACAGAACAATGGGGGCTATCCACCCTCATCCACAATGTAAAGTAATTCACACAGCCTCTTCCCTCTTCTCTCTGTGAGGAGCAGCAGGTTCAGCTTTCAGAACAAAGTAACACAAAACGAAAATGGCATTCATTTTTTTAAATATGTCGTGTAGTAATAGATTTATTTATTTTTCTTCTCAAGAGTGTACCAGAATGTGTATTTTATGTTAGTATTTAAAAAAATCTCCTGGGGAGAATCCCCCAGACCCCCCTGCAGGGGTTGGGTTTTCAGCATGTCAACTCTTTCACTTGTGGGGAAATTGCAGGATTGGCTCCAGGTCGCCCTTTTAATTTACTACAAGACAAATGTGCCTTTTTATTTCATACAGTTCAATTTGGATTGAGACAGGGAAATAATCTAAACCTCACGCGTGGCGTTTCACTGTCGGGGGGAGCGTGTATGTAATTACATTGCAAATACTGACTTGAGCCCCACCACTGTATGGGTTAGCCCTACCATAGATTACCCAACAAAAATACTCTGGAGCCGCAACTGCCGACCCGTATTGCGCATGCGCAGATCTAAGATCCAGTAGAAATGATAACAAAGTGAAAGTCTGCTGCTTATTGTTCTACTAGGCCAAAATAGAGTCAAAGAGTATATGAGAGTGAGAGTGTGTTAATTCATATATTTGGCAGTTTGGAGTAAGTCTGTAGATTTGTTTGTGTGTGTGTGTTTCATGTATAGGCCTCTCACAATAATTAATTTTGTTGGATACATTTTCCCGGAAATTATTGCGATAAACGATAATATTGTCGGCACCGTTGTATGACCATTTTAGACCACTGACATAATGATAATATATAATAATAATTCAAGTACATCCTTTCAAACTGCTAGTCACATCCTCATGTAAATGGCAATTTATCGAGTTCATTTTTATTTATCGTACGATAAGTCAATTATTTGCTTATTTTGCTTACAGGCACAATAAAACAGTGGAAACAAACATGTGTTTGACTTTCATTAGTGAATGAAACTTTGTGCCCTTTATAGTCTGTGTCCAATATTGTGTATTTGCATATATTGTATATATATCCAATATATATGCTAAGGTCCCGCTACTGACATGATAGCAGTCATTTAGTGCGCATATGTGTAATTAAACCCATGATATCAAAATCTCACTCCAGCCAGGTACCCAAAGTTGGCAACCCTGTTTTATTGTCAGAGGTAATCAACAACACCTGTGGATGAGCACTTCCGGTTTACAGGCTCTGATGATGTAAACACTTCATACATGACTCTAGATTTGTTTCTCTTTGTTTAACCTGGTTTTAGAGGTATTAAATATGTGTGTCATATATTAAGCTGTATTTGTTTGTGTGCAAGTACATTTTCTTTCATGCCTCACATTCAGCTTTTTTTATTTTTGGGGTAAAAAATGTACATTTTCTGTGATATCTCATCCAGTCTCTCTGTTGTGCCGACATGAGGTCAACATGGAGGCCTTCACCTCTGCCGCTGCTGATTCTCTTGGTCTCCAGCTGTGTGTCCGTTCAGAGCAGCAAGACCAACTTCGTCCTGATGATGGTGGACGACCTGGGGATTGGAGACCTGGGCTGCTATGGCAACACAACACTGAGGTACGGATATGTTGCTCTCTGGGAATAGATGGCTTAAATAAAGCTTTGGTGCTGTAATCCTACTGGCTGCTTCTTTTAAAGCAGTATACCTGTATTCCACTGCACCACACTACTGTATATCCATTAACCTCCATTGTATTGGAATATTATTCAGATTTCTTCTCACAATTCTGACTTTATTTTGTGACTTTGTGATTCGCAGGACCCCCAACATTGACCGTTTGGCCGAGGAGGGGGTGAAGCTGACTCAGCACATCGCGGCAGCGAGCCTTTGCGCTCCCAGCAGGGCGGCGTTTCTCACCGGGCGATACCCGATACGATCAGGCCAGTTCAAAGACACCAAAACAAAGGTCCTTTACTGACTGACAGTGCTTAATGATGGTCTGCAGGCTGAGTCTACTGTCAGTTAAACAGATCTCTATCCACTTCCTGCAGGAGGCCAATTAAATGTCTAAATTATTAATTAGTGTTTGATACTGTCAGCACATATCAGATCACACATATTTTACGGCTTTTGTTCATAAATATTCATATTTCCTCTCGAACAGGTGTAGCTGGTGATCTGAGACCTGGAGTTTTTATATTTAACGCAGCGTCTGGAGGCCTTCCCAGCCAAGAGGTGACGTTTGCCAAGATTGCCAAACAGCAGGGCTACAAGACAGCTCTCATTGGTACATTGATATGACAGTATAAAGTGCATTTATACACTTGTGGAAACTTGGAACTTTTTTCTCATTTGCTAATTCCTTCTTTTTAAAAATGTCTCTTGTTCCCAGGAAAATGGCACCTAGGACTCAACTGTGAGAGCAGTGAAGATCACTGCCACCACCCGAGCAACCACGGCTTTGACTTCTTCTTCGGTATCCCTTTAACCAACCTGCGGGACTGCCAGTCCGGACACGGCACCGTGTTCCGGATTTATAAATATTTACCGTACGAGACAGTGGCCATCGTCCTGCTCACAGCAGCCTTCCTCCACTACAGAGGAGTGATCACCGTCAGCAGAGGGCTGCTCGGGATCCTGCTCTCTCTGTCGGCCGCTGCCACATGTCTGACTGTGGGATTCATCATGATGATCCCATACCTCAACTGTATTCTCATGAGGGACCACAGGGTTGTGGAGCAGCCATTCACATCTGAAAACCTGACCCAGAGGATGACTCATGAGGCTGTGGACTTCTTGGAACGGTACATGTCAAATTTCCTGATCCAGGATCCTTGTCATCCACACAATCTTCATCTTATTCTAATAGGATTAGGCAATTTACTGTGTTTGACCTGAACTGTAGCTTTGAAGGACATTTTTCTCATGCTGGCAATTAAACTGTATTTTCTGTTTCTGCAGGAACTCAGCGACACCTTTCCTGCTGTTTTTCTCTTTCATCCAAGTGCACACAGCCATGTTTGCTTCAGCAGCATTCAGGGGAACGAGCCGCCACGGTATCTACGGAGACGCTGTGCACGAAGTGGACTGGAGTGTAGGTAGGTCAGCATTTCTCATAAATTGGATTCAATCCACACTTTGTGATCTAGTGAGATTTTTGGGTAGCAGGATGGTATAAGTGGAATTTAATCAGTAAGTATAATGATGTTTTCAACAGAAAACAATGGAGCTCCATGGCACAGAAGAGTAATAATCATTACACACATAATTGGATACTTTAATTCTTGTTTTGGGTATGCGCATGAGTTTTTTGACTATAAGAAAAACTGATTATCACAAGATGTATACTTAAATGACCACAAAGAAGATTATAATGACATTAAAGAGAATATATCCATGTCAGAAGTACACACAGTGATCAAGGCATGTCATTTAAATGTACATAATGAACCTGACTGCATAAAATGGCATCAAAATAGATATTGTTTATTAAATTAAACAAGACCTTGACATTGTGTGTTGTATTGTGTGTGTTCTCAGGTCAGATCATGCAGACTCTGGACAGACTGAACCTGAGAGAAAACACTCTGGTTTACCTGACCTCAGACCAGGGGGCTCACCTGGAGGAGATCTCTGACGGAAGAGAAGTGCACAGAGGGTCCAATGGAATATATAAAGGTTCAGCAAACACACATTTCTTTGGGGTTTTACACTGCATTTTTTGTATTATAGTCTTGTCACTGTGGCTCTACAAATGTGAAACTCCCAGCTTGAGAACATGAGATGTATTCATTAGGAATTCACTCCGTTAAATAATCACGCCATGACTTTGTTGTCTTTGATCCAAAACAAGTCAACAAATGAAATAGCCTCTCATGTTTGATATTTGTGATAGGACCATCTGGAAAACCAAGTAGGAGGCACATACAGTCGGGTTTAACTCTATTGGAATACCGAAAATCAATGACTGCTGGACAAAGGCTCTCAGTGCAGATTGATGTCATCTTTGTGTTGCTCTCAGCAGATGTGATGTGTAACACAGTCTGCTGTCTTTTATCTCTGCGAGTGTCCTGTCTTCAGCTGCGCGATGTTCCTTTACTTAACAAAGCAGAGTTATTCCGAGAGCGAACACGCTGAGTTCCAGCAGCGGGATGAAAACTGCTCTCTGTGTTGTTGTCTTCCCACTGAGCAGCAGGGAAGTCCACAAACTGGGAGGGAGGAATCCGAGTCCCGGGAATTCTGCGGTGGCCGGGGAACATCCCTGCCGGCAGAGAGGTGGACGAGCCCACCAGCAACATGGATCTGTTCCCCACGGTGGTGAAGCTGAGCGGAGCCTCGGGCCCAGAGGACCGGTGAGGCTGCGCCGACTCAGCAATACTTCCATATATCTGTCATAAACCTTGATCCCATACTACTTCACGACAGCACCAAGCTCCATCTTATAATATTGTTTAAATTGATCACCCTAGTGGCAGAAAATTACACTTCAGGCCCAAGGTTGATCTGCCCTTGAGATTCACAGTAATGAGTAGTCCCATGTGTGATAGAGACCACTTCCTGTCCTCCCCTGTGCAGGGTGATAGACGGTCATGACCTCATGGATCTCCTTCAGGGGAGGGTGGACCGCTCCAACCACGAGTTCCTGTTCCATTACTGCAACGCATACCTGAACACGGTCAGATGGCATCCCCAAAACAGTAAGTCCAATCCAATACATTATCCACAGCATGGTGTATAAAATATGAACTCTTCTACCTAGAAACGTTTGTATATATTTCTTTTCAGGTAGCTCCGTGTGGAAAGCCTTTTACTTCACCCCGAACTTCTACCCAGAGAACGGGACAGCCTGCTTCCACACACACGCCTGCTTCTGCACGCCGGGCTTCGTGACCTACCACGATCCTCCGCTGCTCTTCGACCTCTCCAGGGACCAATCAGAGAGCACGCCGCTCACTCCCAGCACCGAGCCCGCCTTTTACTCCGTCCTAGCTGCGATGGAGGAGGCGGCTGAGAAGCACCGGGGGTCGGTGGAGCCGGTGGAGAGCCAGATGTCGGCGCTGAACCTGATGTGGAAGCCCTGGCTGCAGCCGTGCTGCTCCACACTCTCACAGCTCTGCCAGTGCCAGCAGGACCAATAGGGGAAGACTTCAGGGTTTATACCGGCAAACTCTTCCAGGAAATTCACGTCAACTTCAACCTGACTGATTGGAATCAGCAAACTGATGTGGAAAACCCTCCGTAGCTATGATGCTATTGGTTTTTTGCTTCAAAGTAAACTTGTAATTTTCCCGCCCAGCCCTCAGGAAACAAAGGTCTGTTTCTGCAGTGTGGGAGCTTGTTGGGCTTTTGTTTATTAGTTTCCCTTTCAGGATGGATCTCCCAGCAGCCCCCTGGCTCAGTAGGAGAGTCTGCTGTGGTAATGTGGTTACTGCGGCAATCACATTTCCCAAATGAGTTTAGACGTGGGCAGAAGCACACCGCGTGAGTGTTTGCAAGTTGCATACATGAGAGAATTTCCCTTCCTCCGTGGAAAATGATACTTTATTCATGTTGGTGTTTAAAACTATGAATATAACGCTGCTCTTCACTGCATTTCAACATTTCAGAGTGGTAACATATTGCAGGTGTGCGTGGCTGTAATGAACAGGGCTACTTTAGCTTTCCTGTTTTCCATTCTTCAGTGTTTAATTACTGAAGAGGAATTTTCCAACAAGAATAGCTGAAACAAAAAGTATAAAGAACACAAGCCGGGGAATCTTTGCCCCCGGGGGGAATCTGTAATTTAAGGGAAGCTTTAATTGAGCCTCATTATCAGAGCCAGCAGGTAGGCTTACATAACGCCAGAGTGGAAACACTACTGGGTACATCTGTGTGTCAGTGGCTTACATATGAAGGCTATTTAAGATGTTGATATTACTTTTTATATGGTAATTATGTATTTTTACAGTGCCTCCCAGCATCAGTTGTGAGTCAATTAGTGCTGTGTATTATTTGAAATGTTCCGATACCAGTGTTGATACCCTAACTTGAGTTTCAGTAACATAAAGTATGTTTGAAAATGAACTTTTTTTTTTGTGTGAGATGTCTCAACTGGCAACCAGAAGCTTTATCAGCTAAACTTATATTATTTGTATTTTGTGCCTTTACTACTGTGACATGTTTACATGATTTAATGTTCAAAAAGTCAAGTAATTCAATTCAGCAGTGATTTGGTATTTCTTACTCTACTTGTAAGTACAAAAACAACTCGCATGTTCTTTTGAATCATTGATTTACATTTCTTGATATAGGAAAAGTGAGGTATCTTTGGTTGACATTTACATGACGATGGCATCCCGTATAAAACTGTATTTTACTCCTCACCATGGGAGAAGTTTCCCACTGCGGAGTATAGTCAGGATCCTCATGTAGTTGCTTTTGTCTCTTTGGAAATACAGTACACGCCGCAGGACTGCCATATTATTGATGTCCGATACCCAGCCCTGGTCTGCCTGCTGTTCCGATATGTTGTAGTAAATTAAAGAAAGGTCCTATGAAATGTTCCACTTCCTTTGGGGCATTAACTGTAGATAGTACAACATAATCAATTTGCCTCGTCCCTAGTAAATCTCTCTTCATTGAAGCAGCGTCTCCGTCTGTCCTGAGGGTGGAGCGCCCGTCTGAACGCTGATGGAGAACCTGCTCATGCACAGAAACCCAGCGCAACGTCTGGCACTTCAAAGATGAAGCTCCATCCCCGCATCCAGAGGGAGCTCCCAACATCCATGACGGCAGAGTGGACTTCCTGTGAAGTGCTGCAATATCCGATAGGTTTTCCCTTACTGCTTCGAGCTAGGTGAGTTAAATGAAAATTGATGAGCTCACATGAGGGCTTTTTATCACGTTGAGCTGCAGAAGAAAAGGCCCACAATGTGATGAAAAAATCCTGTTGGCTTTTTGCTAAAGGAGCCCTTGCTTCCAGTTTATGTCACCACTGCACCACTCTGGATCCTTCGGAATTAAAAACACAATGTAATGTTTTAATACATTTTAATTTCTTTTAAAAAAAAAAGGAAATCACACAAGGAATAAATATATTAAAATTCATATTTCTGTAAATGGCACTGGGCGTAATGCTTCATCAACTCATGGCACTGGGCGTAATGCTTCATCAACTCATGGCACTGTCAGCTCATCCAGGCGTCTCTATTCAGGAACCTCACAGCGTCACTGAAGCCTTCCTCACATAGAGCCTGCATGCCTCCGCTAGGGGGGGGGAACAGAGCCTGGTTCAGACGCTTGATGTTCTCCATGGAGAACTGAGGAGACCAAAGAAACACAGCATGTCAAATTACATGAAATCACTGACAGACAGTGAACAGTAACCCTAGATTCCCATTTTTAGACCAGTCTGATGAAATGGTCCAGTACTCACTGCTACGTTCATGTTGGCCAATTTGAGGTGAGTGTTGAAGCGCCCCATGTGGACAGGACACACGTCCTGCCGTCCAGCAAAGGGAGACACAGTGATGGTTCGTCCCACGGGCAGAATGGGCAGGCTGTCAGTGAAGCCACCATCAATCCATTTCTAAAAAGTAAAAAAGAGTGTAACGGGCCGTCTCCACGGCAGCGTTAAAAAATCTTGAAACGCTTCTGCCCATTCACTTTGAATGGGGTGACGTCACTTTTTTTCGCTTTCGCCGAAATGCATTGTGGGCAGGCGAGCGGAGATTCTCAGGATTTTCAAGATCCAAAGTTGAACAATGTTCAACTTTTGAAGCTGAGGAGGAAGCGTCAGCCAATCAAATCCCGTGTACGCAAATCTGACAGTTCAAGCTCTAGCCAATCAAACGGCGTGTATGCTGGGAGAGACAGACCGCAGGTCATTTCCTCATATTCCAAAACATGGAGGAGAAATTAGCGGTAGCGAATCAATCACCCGGTGCTTTATGACCAGACCTACCGGGATATAAACCGGAGGAGCCAGGCATGGAGGGAGGTGGCAGAGACAGTGGTATGTTTTCGCCTGTTTTGGGGAGTTTATATCCAGTTTACTTCGGGCTTTTTGGCTTCATATGTCGCGGGCGGGAGATTCATGTGATTGGTTGATCGCAAAAAAATCCCCAAGCCTCAGATACGCCCACCTCCAAGATTTTTTTAACGCTGCCGTGGAGACGGCCCGTAAGGATCCAGGTCACAGACTGCCTCCAAATTAAGACTAATTTCGATTAATAATAAGATGCATCAATCCCTTTAAGGACCAATGTGTTTTTGTAGAACCTCAAAATTAATTAACTTAATTAAAAAGAAACCATTACCTGTCCTCTCAACTCCACTGGTTTGAGTCCAGCATATACAGGCACAAAGCTGCTGGCCAGTAGAGCCTGTGAACGTTACAAATGAGTTGTTTAATCAGAAAACACTCTTTGACTTAAAGCCAGTCAAAGTAGTAAAACAAATCTTGAAGAAAAACAGGGATGTGAAATATTCATAAAGATTAATGGTCAGCTTTTTAAAGGATCAGCGTTATGTGTAGAGAGCAGGGGGGGGTGTACCTTTATGAGCTCCTCTCTGGAGCTAAACCTGGACACGATGTGGTTCTTGCCACTTCTGGAGTGTGTTATCGAGATGAAGAGTCGCTCCGAGGCCAGAGTGTGAGCCTCACTGGGCAGAATGTGTTCTATCCCGTCCCTGCAGGGAATACACAGTCAGATGATTCATTCATAGGCTCATCCTCAGAGAAGGTCCTGTCAAATACTGTCATATTTTCAGTCGCATAAAAGGGGAATTGCATCAACAGAAACAAATGTATTTACTGCAGTTCGAGCATGAAGTCGTATCCTGGTGTGACTGCTCCAAACCTCTGCCTCCTCACGCTCTCAGCAAACCTGTAGGTGAACTCTTTACAGTCCTGCAAGAGAAGGAAGCAAATGATATCACACCTCATTCAGTTATACCGTCTTATTATATATTATAGTTATACAGGTCTAAAGCAGTTCTGGATTTAAACGGACTTTGACTGAGCAGGATCACCATACCTCTAACTTGTCAGGAGCTGTGATCATTACAGCAGCCACCAGGGCCCCAGCAGAGGCCCCTGCACAGGCCCGGAGGGAGCCCAGCAGCCGGTCCCCGTGGCGGAGAAAGGCCCCCACAGCACCCAGGTGGTAGATCCCTAAAAAGCCACAGGCAGCGAAGGACAGGTTCAGGACTGTCATCCTCAGAACCTGCAGAAACATGACACCAATTAACAGAACTAAATATAACTTTATTACTACATTATCTTTACAGTCACCACACAATTATGAGATAGGGCTGAACAATGTCATCTTTTTGTTGTATGTGTGCATACTTGAATCTTGTAAAACTGTTGGAAATTGCATTTATAAGCAATTTTCATGAAACTATAAAAAAGCCACTTGGTATCAAGCATTTAAAAACTATTGCAATATATATATATTTAGTTTACAGAGGACATAAACCCAATTTGAAGTTAATATTACGTGCAATTTCTAAATAAATAAAACATATGTGATTTTGATGTAGCACTCATACATATTATACATGTATAAGGAAGCTTTAAGTGGTGTATTAATTATTTAATATCTCTTATTCTTTTGCTAAAAAATCCAATTATATCAATTTATATTAGTAATATGAATATCAGTACTAATTATATTTAATTATGAGTTTATTCAAACAAATTGTAAGAAATGTAAGGCATTGTATATTTACATTTTTATTTTATTTGTATATAAAAAGTCGTTATTTAGTCTATTATGTTACTGAGTCCATGTTGGTTTCTTTTTACGACTCATGAATGACGTAAGGTTTATTTTGTGTAATGAATGACGTAAGGTACTTTTTGCCACAGTGAGATTTACCACAGAGAAGCAACGAGAAAGGAGAAATTAAGGCTAGCTAACGACAGGGATTTAACCTCTGTCAGGCTGAAGAGAAGGAGAAGACTTACCCTGTTCCCAGTCAACAGCTTTAGTGTTAACTCATGTTCATTTGTGTTATTCTCAGTTAGCTACACAGGCTAAAATAACTCGTTACTGCTCCTTGTAAACATGTAACGTTAGCTTGTTACCTAAAAACTACACTTCCTGTTTACCGGAAACAGAAAAAACAGTCCATCCGTTTATGATTTTCAAAATATAACCGGCGCTAAACGCAGCCATCGTTCCTTAAATGGCGTTTTTCCCCCAAACCCTGTTTTTTCAGACTGTAGTTATGATTCCAATACAAAAAATACGTCTTTTAAAATGGTTTATTCTTCTGTGCAGCCATCTCTACCCTTTTTTCATTTAAGAGTATTTAAGAAAGTATTGTAGACTAGGGTCATGGATTTCGACCAATCAAATCGCATCAACGCTGTAGTGACATCAACGACGTCAGCAAGTAACAACATTCACAAGTGCAGTTATGGAGATTTTGAGGTTTTAGGAAATAATTAACTAAATTACCACTACAATAGTAACTAAAAATTAAAAGGGTATGGCAGTCTAACTCCCAGACTACCATAGCTTTGTACAAAAGGAGGGATTCAGACTTTTAATGATGAAAATGATGTCTTGCAGGAGTGGCTAACTTCAGAAGCTAGTTTGCTAGCCAACACATCTATTGACTCTAATGTTGTGGAGGACCTGAAGGCTGCTGGGAAGATTCTAGGACAGGGATATTGACCACTTCGCCACCATGTAAGACAGGAGAATGACCTTCCACTACAAATGGGGTGAGTGAAAAGCACACCCTCTTCCCTCTGTGACACTACTGTTTACTAAACTGCCTGTTGGCTATGTGCTGTAGCTTTCTGTGCGCTGCTCTTGTTGTTGCTGTTGCCTGACTGAGCAGTCCTCAGTGGACTTGGTTTAGTTTGTGTTGTGCTTTGTTTATCCTCGGTTGTTTTTTGTTCCTTATTGAGTACCTTGTTGTAGTCCAGATTTTTGTTTTGTTCCCGAGTTTAATATGTACTGATTCTTTTTAGTTTGGGGGTGGAAGCTCTGGGTCCCAGGTTCAAATTTGTATTTGGTGTGGTTTCCATGCTTTAATATTCAAAAAGCTCTTTATTTGTCTCATACTGCCTGTGCTGCATCACCTCTTTTCACCCTCTGTCTGAAACCAGAGCCCAGTCTGCTCTGATTGGTTAGCTGACCGGCTCTGTTGTGATTGGTCAACCGCTTGGAGATGTCCAGACCCTTAGCTTTATCACGTATAATGTGTTGGAGCTCTAGCCAATAGAAGGGGGAGTGTTACATAGTGATGTCACAAAAGTAAACAAAGGAGTCCAATGGTAACACAGTGGTTTTAGCCCTATATAGAGATTAACACCCTACATACAAAGTTATATTTTCATTTAAAAAAAGTTAAAGACTTCTCCCACAGGATGCCTGGTAGTTTGTCATATAATAACCCCAAACAATAAACCAGAGTGTATTTTATTATAAGCCCTGCATTGTTGCTTTCCCGCCTAAAGCAGAGTCCCTGGAGTGCAATTCTTTCTGTGCTACCTCTGCAGTCAGCGTTTATTTCCCATGGACCTTCGCCATCGGAATTCTCTGCGCTTCCTCTCGCCCTGTTATGCTGGAAGATCAGCAAAAATATCTTGCTCCTTTAGGGTTGCTTTTGATTATGTATGGACCCAAAAGGATTAGGTGGAGCTGAACTCCTGGTATCATGGAGGGGGGATAATGCATTTTGTTTGGTCAAGGATAAACACAGATGCCAGTGATAATTTAGAAATGATCTGGAATGAGTTACAAAATGATACGCTCCCGTTATTTATGATGATCTAAGACTGAACTGAAACTCCATAAGCTACCTGCATTAACTTCACTGTTGCTCAAGTGAAAATAAAGTTACATTTGAATGATCATTTAGTTTATTTGGTCTTGGTAGTGATGGAGGTCAGTCCTCTGGTCTGTGTGTTGTCGTTATGCTGCCATGCTTCGAGCAGAGAGCCCTGCAGTATATTGTGAGAGGAGGTTATTATTATTTATATCTAACAGTTTGTAAAGCTGCCTCAGGAGCTGCTGACTCACCTAAAACTGTTTCTCTGCTCTTAGTTCAGAGAGGAGTAAAGAGTCCCATGACGGTGTGAAACTGAAATATCTTTAGACATGAAAATATCCATTGTAAAAATAAATGTTAAATACTGCAATTAACTAATTATTGGCAGCTGCATACCATATTACTGTATCAGTAAATATTTTTTACATTTAATATATATTTTTTGTAATTGTATTTCGTATTTTATGGACTTTCTACTTGAACTTCTTATTTTTATATAAATATCTTTATTTAATTTTATTTATTTTGCACATTCTTTAACTTCTTATAAATATTGTATTTAATTGCATCTTTTCATTGCACTTTCTTACTCTATTTTTATTATATTTTACTTTTTCATTTATATTTTAATTAAACGTATTATGTTTATATAAATAACGTAATGTATGCCTAATTTGACCCATGAGCGTATGTCACGGAACTTCAAAACCAGACTGTTTGACCCAAAGGCAGACGGCCGGTTGCCAAATAACTACTGCTTAATTAAATACAGAAAAAAATGCTAATGTGCTTTCCGAAAACAGTTTCAGGTCATGAACGATCCGTTCTCTATTAAAGGCCCGATATGACTCTGGGTCCCTCACACCGCAGCTCAACCAAACGTACAAAAGACTGTAACACCCTTGAAACAGTCGCACAAATTAAACACACATTGCAGAGCAGCATTAAGCGAACTCCTTCAAACATTTTTCAAGCACCAGCAGAGGTCAGACTCATGATGCTTCAGCGCCGGGCTGTGATTTAATTATTCCCCTTAAGATAAAGAAGCTGCTGGTTATGGAGTGGAAAGCCTGCGGCGGTGGAGCTTAGCGGCGAGAGAGCACATGTGCAGAACAGCACAGCGTCCATGAAACTCAAGGATAAAAGAAATGGAAAAGTCCAATTTCAGATATCAGACTCATTATCCAGAGCAAAGTTATAATTAAGAGGCACTTGCATAAAATCGCTGAAGGGAACATAATCAGAGACATCCGCTGTGAGGAGTGTTTGCCTGGAGAAGGCTTTTTTTAACGGGCAGATTGGGGAGAATGCACCCCCCTTTACCCAAGCTGGGGACATGTCAAGGTCAAACAGATAAAGTAATCTGTTAAAAGATCAAATGGTTTCTGTAGATCGAAAAACATGGAGGCTGCAGAGTGGAGGAATCAAAGAGGAATTGAAAGTGGAGAGAGGACAAAAAAAGCCAAAGAGAGGCTGGATGGGAGGCCATTAGGACAAACACATCAGCGCAGTATAAAGCTGTACCTGTCACAGCTCTGCAGATCTGCAGCAGGCGAGGATTAGTCACCTCATCAGAACATGAATCATCATAACAGAGGCTCAGTGTTCCAGGCGTTTCAATGCAAAGCCCCGATCCTGGGAGACTAATTAAAGATCAGTTACTGACAGGCAACAAAGAGAGCCGCTCTGTCACACAAACACACAACAAGTTGATTGAATTACATCTGAGCGCAGACGGAGTTCAGGGTGAAGTGACGGCACACATTGAGCCGCGTGAGGCCATTCAGAGGCATCGATCACAGGAAGCAGCTCGTCTCGGGCAATTTCGGAAATCTTACAGTATCTCCGGAGGAAAATAGAGGACAAACTATTTGAGGAAGGGAAAATTGGATATCCTTCAGGAGGACGAAGGAGGAAAAAAGTGTAATTGTGATTCTTGGAACGGACGCTCAGGCAGAAAAAAAGAAAGAAAGAGAAACGGTGTTCTGTATCACATTGAGGCCCAGTCGAAACCCAATCCCTTTCTGCAGAGGGACACGTTTACCTGAAAGGAAAGGGCTAAAAGTTTCCAGACCTCGCTGTAATTGGACAATTTGGAAACCAACTAGAAAAGTGCAGCATCCAGAATCTTTTCATTTGGAGGGGAGGCGATACAGGTGGGGGGCTGTTTGTGTCAAAGTGGGCTCCATTCCCTCTATACTGTACCTAGGTATTATGTTATTGGTATAAAGATGGCCTATCTGGATGAAAACATAATAAAAAAATATATATAAATATTGATACAAGGGAAATTCCCAATACAAGATAAGATCAAATTAAATAAAGTAAGTACTATACTAAAATATAAAACATGTATTTTACAAAGCATTGTAGATGCTCCTGAAGAGCGAAACGTCTTGTCACATGGTCAAATAGAGACTACTGATTGGTGAACCCAAAAGCATCCTCACTAAGTCAGTACCAGAAGGAAAAGAAGCATAACTGAACATTAGGATAACCATGTCTGTTGAAACCAATAGTCAAATATTCTTTCCTTCCATCATCAGGGATACTTTATTATAATAAACAGACGTATAATCTCCTTTCTTCTCTCAGTGACAAACATCAAACCGAAACGGTCATGAATTATTGCTCGTTGCCTTAAAGCTAGTCACAAGGCTGTGTCCTCACACTATGGGTTTGCAGACTGATTAAATATTTATCATTTGATCCAAAAATAAGGCTGTAAATCCATCTCTGAATCGCGAGGAAGAGACACCCGGGCTTTTGTATCATTATTAACATATTCTCGTCTTGGCTTTGATCCGAAGCGTTACATTCCACCACAGCTTTCAGACTCCTCTTACAAACCTGATCAATGATTTAACTCGAGATACATATGAGCTATTTCTGTTTCCCTCCACACCTCGTCTTTAACCAATACACCCACTGTTTGGCATCAGGAAAAGCATTAGTGTAGCACGGGAATATTTCAAAAGGCTCATGTTGGTTTTGTGTAAAACGCAGTCTTATAAATGTGAAAACCAATCTCAGATTCTTCGAGAAAAGCTTTTTTAAATCTGGATGAACATGCCCATCATGTGCAGCTGGATTGCTGTCTGGACATTCTATCAACTTATATCAATATTGGTCAAAACTAAACGAGCACAGGCTGACATTTAGTCCAAAAAATGCTGGATCCTACATTTCCCATTATGCAAAATGTGTTCCCTCTTTGGTAAATTCCACATTGTATGTTAATCCTGAGATAACGCTGATGACATCATTATGGTTATTTCCTCCATCTTGACATATAAGACAAAATACTAATATGAACCTAAAAAAGGGCATTATAAGGCCCCTTTAACTTCTTACGATTGTATAAATATCTTTATTTTGGTTTATCTTTGTATC